GTGTGTGTGTGTGTGTGTGTGTGTGTGTGTGTGTGTGTGTGTGCGAATATAGAAAATAGGAAAGAACTCGTTAGGTAAATAATCCAAAGTTCTTTAGTATTTTTGTTATTATTTTTAAAAAATAGTGCTCGATACAAACGTAGAGCATAAATATAATTATTAATTAAAAAATATGATTCCAACACGCTACATAAGAGTTCTCATGTTCCAAAACAAGAGCCGAAAACTTCAATATTATTATTTGAATAAAATTGAATTAAAGTACTTAGAAGAATGCGATGGAAAGCATACTTCTACTTTCGTGGGAATGACTCAACTGATAAAGAACGCGAAGTTTACCGCTTTAAATTAAAAATGTTGCCCCATTCAACAAACAGCAATATACAAATTATTAACACCATTTTCTTTAAACAATTGCTCTAGCCGTTACCATAGAAATTTTGATTTCAGTAATGAATATACTTATAAAACGCGTAAATTTCAGAAATAAGTTATTCAAAAAAAAAAAATTTGCTTGAGCTTAGTATTTTAATTCAGTTTAATTCAAATAATATTGAAGTTTTCGGTTTCTTATGTAGCGTGTTGGAATCATATTTTTAAATAAATAATATATATATATATATATATATATATATATATATATATATATATATATATATATATATATATATATAATATGTGGTGCAGTTCAATATATATATTAAAATGAATCACTCATAGAAAAAGTTTCATTAACCTACGAACCACTCGATGAATGCTATGATCCTTGTTTTTAATAACTACAAGTTGTATAACGTCTTTTCTTAATCTGCTAGTACGTTCAACTATACACACAGTCATCCTCAGGCATAGAAATTATTTTGTTTTTAGCAAATCCAGGTAGTAGCGGGGACGAAAGATTAAATGCGAATCGAAATATGTTTTTTTTTTAAGAAATGTGTTATTGTTAACGGATAAAAATATTTGGAGCGTGCAGTCGTAACGTTAAAGTTGAAATTTTTGGAAAATGTAAGAGAGTGTGTTTTTTTACTAAAATGGTAATTTGTGAATTTTTTTTGTTGTAGGAGTTTATTAGTCAAAGTGTCATGAACTAATTTACTTTTTGTATGAATGATATATATATATATATATATATATATATATATATATATATATATATAACTAAACTTCAATTTAAAGCTCAAACGTCACAAATTCGGATGATTATTAAAAGGAAAAGTAATATTATTTGGTTTAATCCCCTTTCAATCAAGATGTGTAAACAAATATTGTAAAAAAATGTTTTTTAAACTGTTTTATAAACACTTCCCCAAAACTCCTGAGTTGTTAAAAATCTTCATAAGAAATACTGTGAAAATAAGTTATTGTTGTACCGGCAATTTGGAAAATATAAATAACAAGCAGAATATTAAATATATATATATATAAAGATTGCCTGAAGGATAATAACTGATCACATGAGCATGTAAAACTGAAGGGGTATTCTACAATGCAGAGGTCGAAAATGAAGTGAACCAGATAATGTATAATTCGGTTGTACAGAAGGCAGCTTTAAGAATGAATGGTATCACCATCAATCATCTTTTAAGGTGGAGAGTTACAAACATTCTACAAACCTCGATAGCCAGGTGTGGAAGCTAAAAGAAAAATATGGTAAAAGCGCAAAGGTATCTTGGAGTATTTTTAAGAAAGCCATGATATATAGCATTGGTAATGTCATCTGTAGATTATGTCAGGAAGAAAAGAACACTGGCTATTATGTCGTATGCAGAGCGAGACAACCTTGTAAATGAAAGGTCCGAGATAATGGCAACTTGGAAACTTTTACATAAAATAATTGATATTAATGCTTAAATGCTAAATACTTATATATACACATTCACACGTATACATACACACATATGTATATATGTGTGCGTATATATATATATATATATATATATATATATATATATATATATATATATATATATATATATACAAAAGAAATAATCACGCATAGAATTTGTTTTGCTTTTGTATTCATTGGAGGCGGTTAGATTTATAATTAAATTTATGTATTATTGCTACAATTTATGTACATACTCCTGTATTTATAGGTTTATGTATACACACACGTGCATTTCTATTCAAGCACGTATATAGCCATACGTATACGTCTATATGTACACATAAACGAGCGCACACAGGTACCTATACACTTATGTCACTTCATTGTTATTAAGAAACTAGTTCTTAAAATGTGAAGTTATTTATTTTTAAAACATTTTTACACACACAAGCGCGCGCGCGCACACACACACACACACACACATAGCAGGCACGCTCGGATATTTAATTTTTAGATAGTTTATATGTAAGTAAAATAAATGTGTGCATATGTCATATATTGTCGTTTATTGCTTAGCTAATGTTTTATTTTTGTTTTTATTTTAGTAGTTTATTTGCTTTTGCCTTGGTATTATATATTCAGATATTAATTATTGGGTGTTTGGTTTGTTAATATTTTGGTGTCTACTTATATATATCTATGTATATATACATATGTACATGTACAAACATGCGTATTGCTGTGTATCTTTTTTTCAACTTATTGGTTTATTAATAATATTTTTTATTAATATATATTTGTTTATTTTATTTATTTATTTGAAGTTGCTATTATATTTTTATTTCAATTATTTATTTATATAAAGTTTATATTTATTTTCTTTATATTTATTCATATTTACTTAGGGTTTCGATGGCAAAGTAAATATTTGTTTATATGCCTACATTTACCCATTATTTCAGTTACTTGTTTCAGAGTTTATTTTAGTTTTTAAAACTAATTATTGCTATTTTTCTTTTTAAGTATAATTTACAAATGTTACTGATAATGCTGTATTGGAATGCTTTTATTTGTAATTTCCCATTTGATATTGGCCTGGATATCTATTTCTTTTTGGCTCGATATATTATTGTATTGTTTGTGTATTTTTCTATCTAATGACAATTTCTGGTCATAATATCTTTAAATGTCTTTTTCTGTGGTCTCTATTTCATTTTTGTTCGTCTGTGTTAATGTTATTATTTATGATAGCTTTGTATATTACGTTATTGGTTAAACAGTTGTTAAGTAGGCGATTTTCTTTGTTTCTGCAGTTATATTTAATGGTGTTATTTTACTGCATGTTTTTGTTATTGTCATTTTTTTGGTTTTGTTGAGTATTTGTTTATTGTGCTTAATTATTATTTTCTCCTGATTAACCATGTAGATGTAACTAATTTTGATAGTATTTTTGTTGATAATTTTTGATAATTTTTGCTGCTTTTAGGGAAGTGTTTGTCAATTATTTTGAAGAATAATTCTCTCTTTTTAGATTTTATTGTATTTTTGTGAGTGGGGAACAAATTCTATTTTTTTCAGTTGTTTTTGTTTGAATAGTTTTCGTTCTTGTATTATAGTTTGTTTCAATATCCACAGTTTCTTATTGCTGGTTCATATGTTTTTTTATTGAATATTATTTGGCTACAAAATTTATTGAAATTCTTTTCTTTATAGATATGGTATTTGATTAAATATGTATAGGGGTGGTTAGAATTTCTTTAATGTACATTAAGCATTTGTTTGGTTTACTATAGGGTTTGTAGGTTCCGTTGTTTAAGTTGAATAATATAAGAAATTTAGTATTTTTTATTTGATTTTATATATATTGTAAATCCAAGAGTTTTCAAGCTTTTTATTATTTTTTTGTTTCATTTTTCTGTTGTTCTGCCGTTGCAGTTCTTAGAATTAATAGACCGTCGTCTCTGTTTAGACCTACATCTTTTCGTTAATAATATTTGTTAATTTATTGATTATGCCTATGTCTATGAGTTCGCAAAGCAACATCATAACTACCCTTTGTTACGTCACCGTTATTATTATTGTTATTATTAGTAGTAGTATTTTGGCTCGTTTTTCCATATTTTTTATTGTGATATAATAGTGATTTTTTGCAGTGTTTAACTATATTTATGTCCTCATTGGAGATATTGATGTGTTGTTTTATATTTCTTATTGCTATAAACGTGATTTTCAATGGGTACATGTGTTTAAGTTTCTATCTTTGTTTTGTATTTTATTAAACAATGAAATTAATAACAGCTGGCCTAAATTGAGAAATCCCTCTAAATTAAAATTGTAGCACCCCCCCTTTACAGGAATCAAAGCTGCATCTCTTTAGCCAAAGTGTGTCTCTTTCAGTTCAACCACAGAGCCAGTTTGACAGGGCAATGCTGGTACTACCAATTAAACAAAGTGCATTATTCTCGTTGGGGCTTTTATGAATCTATATCTACTAGCTTTAAACAACAGTAATTTTTGGAAGGATTTTTATCCGAAATTATTTCTTATTAATATAAACGTTTTTTTTTTGTTTTTTTTAGTGGGTGCATAACATTTCAAATACGTGATAACCAGATTACAAGCTCTATTCGCAGAACTGTTACAGAAGTTTGCTCATTATATTTGCATTAGTCACCACGGGTTTTTTCTGTGAAGAAAGAAAAATGTGCCTGGGCAGACGTCTGTAACATGGATTAACTCGCCACTCTCGCAAACGTTATATCTCACTAACAAAGAGCCATCCATTGATATATTCGAAAACCTATCTCCCCATAGGTATGTCTTCTTGATAATATATGAAAGTGGAAAAGATTTTTAATGACAACGTGTTTTGCCTTTGTGTGTTAGGCAGGCTTTCTGAAGTGCAAATGTAAGACAAAATTGTGTATATTTTTAATATTAAAACTGTTAATGCCTGTTTACTAGGTTTACTTCTTCCGGAATGAAAGAACATAACTGCCTGTTCATTATTATTATTATTATTATTATTATTATTATTATTATTATTATAAACTGTTAATTTCTATAGGAAAAAAAATACGCAGTTTTGATTTTCCTTCCGGCCTGGGGCAGGTATTAGCGGTTTTAATATTAAAAAGCAAACAGTTTTTTCTTTCATTCTCACCTGAAGATAACTACTTATATAGGAAGGCAAAATGCGTTACTATTAAAAAGCTTTCCTTTTTTGTGTCGTTCTTCCACTATTGATTGGATTCCATATCGTCTTAACACGCATTTCTATCTATCTATCTATCTATCTATCTATCTATCTATCTATGTATGTATGTATGTATATGTACAAATTATTATACTGCCTACTCTTCTGAACTATTTACTGATGTTTGCTTAGCATAATTGCAATAAACACCATTGGTTGACACTGTGTTCGTTAAAGAAAGACAAATGTGCCTGCACAGACGTCTGCAACACGGTTTAATTCGCAGACGTGCAATTTCACTAACGAGCAGTCATTCATTGAAATATTTCAAAACGAATCTCCCCATGGGGATGTGACTTCTTGATAATATCGGACTAGTGCTGGAGGCATTCCTGGTGAGCTGCATCTTTAGAAAATGCCTGATAACCATGTCACGCTCCGTCTCAAACCTTCTGAAATCGGATAGACTGAACCTTTATGAATGCCGTCGACTGTTCTGCTTACAAGAATTCACAAGCCATTTTCATCGAGAATTTTAAGCATTTTAGACTTGTTCACCTTCTGATCTCACTAGATTTTACATTCTCTTCTAGAACATGTAACTAAGGCACACTCGGTATAGTTGTTGTACAAAGAACTTGTTGGCTCTGCGAAGTTTGAAGAAACAGTAATATTACTGGGAAAACATCTGTAACAGTCACTGGGTTGGAAACCTTACAAAATGGCCGACTCAGAAATAAGTATCCGGAAATTTTGGTAAAAGTATCCAGAATTAATGCACTGATTAGAGAGTGCATTGTATACATGATTGTAAGATTTAGAAATCGTAAAAAAATATTTGAAATTATTCATTATAAATATCAGCAACAATCCTCAGTAAAGTGTTCAATACATGAGACAAACATGGGTCACGTGATCACTGGCAAGTTTCATTGCGAGAGAGTAGAAGAATATATTATTAATTATAATTATGATGATTAACATCACTTTTTATACTTTTTTATGATGTCTGAAATCTCAGTCTATCAGCTTATAACATAACTTGAACAAATGAGATTATAGTAAAAATAAAATTGAACATCGATAGCATGGTTGCAGACACACACACAGACAACATCGAACAGATGTTAACCCTTTTGTCAATTTTGTCTGATACATGATACATACCGAAGTATTGAATGCCATATAGGAGTTCTGCAAATGTGACAAGTTACTAACACTAAGGAAAGAAAAATATCAAAATATCGTTCAGATTTGTTCGTAAATATCATCTTTGATCGAAAGACTTCAGTAATACTAAAACGATCGAACTTTCGTCAGCTTTTTGTTTGGCGAGATCGTACTGCGAAACGAAGTCATTGGATTCTGACTTCGATGCCACAAAAGCTATAAGATATGCATTAAAAATATATATCGTTTTTCAGAAACGTACGAGGGTATGCAAAATTTCGGATAGTGATTTATTTTCTGAATGTATATTGTGAAAAAATCGTCTAAATGATCTACAGTTCAGAGAGTTTCCTGTTAATCTAACAAGGACGTTTTTTATCTGTTTTGTCTTAAATTTCAGAACAGGGTTGGAAGCTTTTGACCGTCTTCATTACTGATTTTATTGATAGTTGCTTTTTTAATATTATTAACGCTTCCATTATTTTTTAACTATTTTGCATGTAGATGAGTCTTTTATGTTCATATTATTCCCCACGTGTGTGCATATATATATATATATATATATATATATATATATATATATATATATATATATATATATATATATATATATATATATATATATATATATATATATATATATATATATATATATATTGTGATAAATTAAGAAAACACCTTAACAATCCATGTTGATTCGAATTTATTTCATGAATATTTTTTATATTCATCTCTTCAGACTAAATATATTTAAGAAATTAAATCAATCCAGACAGGAAGAGATACTAGGAGAAAAAGAAGAAAGTGGAAAAGATAGATAGAAAGAGAGAAAAAAGATTTAGAAGAAAAGTAAGATAACTTTACAGAAACAAATTAAAATTTACTCCATATACAACCTGCCAAATGAAAAAATAAAAGAAAACGAACTGCAAAATATAATAAAACAACTCCCTACACCTTTTATATTACTCGGAGATTTCAACTGCCATGGTCCAATTTGTGGTTGCAGAGATACTAAGCAAAAGGGCAAAAATATGGAAAGACTCATAAACAATAACTTACGTATTTTCAATAACAAATTCCCAACACACATATGCCCGTACACAGGTAAATACTCAGCAATAGATCTGACCCTATGTGATCCATCCATTCTTATGGATTTCACCTGGTCAACATACAACTATACCTGCGGAAGCGACCACCTCCCCATAATCTTAGAAAGTATAAGCCCAAATTTAGAATATAAAACACCCAACTGGAATTTAAAAAGGGCAAACTGGGAAAAATTCAAAAAAATGTGCTCTATTAAACTAACCCCAAACTCAAACATCAAAAAAGCAGACAAGGTTACATTCTTTAAAAAAAACAATAATTTCCATAGCAGAAAAATGCATACCTAAATACTCCAAAGCTACTAAACACTACTATCCCTTGTTCAACGAAGAATGCAGAAAAGCAATTAGATCGCGCAGAGTTGCTCTACACAAGTTCAATACACAACCAACAGTGGAAAATTTAAACGTCTTCAAAATATGCAAAGCTAAAGCGCGACAAATTATCAAGAAATCAAAACATTCAACATGGAGAGAAATTATATCCCAAATCAAAAGCAAAAACTCTATGGAACATGATCAGAAAGATCTCTGGCAAAAATAGCTTCCTCTCAATCATCTCTACAATTACAATGGAAAAGTAACTGACCCCAAAGAACTAGCCAATACATTCGCCCAAAATTTTGCCCAAAATTCCTCTGCCACAAATCACAGTAAAAGATTCCAGAACATAAAGAGAAATGATGAAAAAGAAACAATCAATTTCCATTCCGAAAACACAGATTAATACAACCCGCCTTTTTTACTAACTGAACTCTTAGACTCTCTCACCCAATCTCACAACACTGCAGCAGGACCTGACAATGTACATTACGAATTTTTTAAACAATTGCCAGATCATTCCATAGAACTCCTATTAGACATCTTTAATAATATCTGGTCCAGTGGAAATATACCTAATCTCTGGAAACAAACCAACATCATCCCAATACCTAAGACTGGAAATTACTCGTCTAACCCCTTCAATTACTGCCTAACCAGTTGTCTCTGCAAAACTCTAGAGAGAATGATCAATAACAGACTGACTTGAATACTCGAAACCAACAACTTAATTACTAATTTTCAATCCGGCTACAGAAAAGGGCGTAGCACAATAGACCATCTAGTTCGCTTCGAAAATCTCATTAGAAGTGCCTTCATCAGAAAAGAACACTTAACAGCAAACTTTTTTGATCTTGAGATCTTCGACACCACGTGGAACATGGCATAATGAGAGACTTAGACAACTTTGGTCTCGAAGGTAGATTGCCAATTTTCATCCAAAACTTCCTATCTAATTGCCTCTTCCAAGTACCTTATGGTAAAACTCTCTCTGAACAGGAAATGGGCGTCCCACAGGAGAGCGTACTATCGGCCACTCTATTTAATATGAAAATGAATAATATCGTAAAAACTCTCAATCCTGGGATTGACCCCTTTTTATACGTCGACGACTTTCTGACCTGCTATAGATCAAAACACGTCCACACCATCGAACGTCAACTGCAACAATGTCTCAACAAAATCTGCAAATGGGCCACAAAAAATGGATTTAAATTCTTCCAAACAAAAACCAAATGTGTACACTTCTGCCTACAACAAAAGCTACATCTAGACCCTTCCCTAAAACTCGTTAACACAGAAATACCAATAGTTGAAGAACACAAATTCCTAGGCATTGTCCTTGACAAAAAGTTAACCTGCAGACCACACATAAAATATCTCAAAGTTAAATGCAATAAAACCATCCAACTCATGAGAGTGATTGACAATATTAACTGGGAAGCTGATCGACAAGTCTTAATAAAACTCTACAGAGCACTAATTCGAATAAAACTAGACTATGGCTGCATCATCTATGGATCTACCAGAAAGTCCTATTTAACAGAATTAGAAACCATACAATATCAAGGGTTGAGATTAGCCTTAGGAGCTTTCAACACTTCTCCTGTAAATAGTCCACATGTAGAAGCCTATGAAATTCCCACTCCACGTAAGACGAAAAAAAAAAAAACTAGCACTCCAATATTGCATCACGCTTTATTCGTGTCCTATCAATCCCACCTTCAACTGTGTCTTCCATCCTGAAAACAAAACTCTATTTGACAGGCAAAAAAAAAAAGCCATAAAAGAATTTGGACTACAAATGGAACATTCTTTTGCAGACTAATAAACAAAAAAAGTATTTGCAAATCAAAACTCCCTGAACACCAACCTTGGCTACTAAAACGACTAGAAATCAATCTAGAATTAACAACATACTCCAAATCTAATACACATCCCCCAACTTATATCGATAATTTAAATAACATCCTAGAACAACACCCAAACTGGACACAAATATACACAGATGGCTCGAAAGACAAGAATAAAGTTGGAAGTGCGGCTACCTCTAACAACACCACGCTCCAAAAACGCCTACCTGACAATACCTCAATTTTAAGTGCTGAAGCTACAGCCATAAATTTAGCTTTAGACCTCACCCTCAACCTTAACAAATACATAATACTTTCAGACTCATTATCAGTGCTAATGACACTAAAAAGCAAAAGTTTAAATAACCCTCTGATCATTAATCTCTTACAAAGAATCAATCTCATCACTCAAAAAAAAACAACATTATTTTCTGCTGGATTCCCAGCCACATTGTTCTCAGAGGAAACGTAAAACCAGATACAGCTGCTAAATGATAATCAAACATCAACATTAGTGACATAAAAGTACCCCATACAAATTACAAACCCCTAATCAACAACCTCAATACGATTAAATTTCAAGAGTCGTGGAACTCCTGCAAAAATAACAAACTCTAGGAAATCAAACCCATCCTCAAAGAACGGACAGGAATATGTTATAAAATCACTAGA